TAATGGTAGTGAATCACTATTTTGTATAGTTCTACGTTTTCGCAAAAATCGCCGTTTTTTATTAGGTTTAGGCGTAGGACAGAAAAGGCGGGGCGCATGTTGGGCCGTAGGTAAACGTCGTTTGCCGCCGCGAACGGGGAGAGACGGGTCTACGGGAGAGCCCTAGCTATGCCGAACTCGCCTTCGGCTCGCTAGGCATTGGTGTAGGAAAAATGCGAGCAGTTTTTCGTCGCGAGAAGGGCGAGCTCGAGCTATGCCGAGCTCGCCGTCGCTCGGCATTGGTATGCATTTCGCATATTGTGACCGGATCCGTTTATCGACCCCGACATTCGGGACGGCGGTTGGTTTATGCCGAACTCGCCTTCGGCTCGCTCGGCATTGGTATACGAGGCGCGTGTGTTAAGAATCGAAAGTCCTAGATTATTTTACTTCGTTAGGGGGAAGGGTTATTAAAAATGTTTGTTGAAATTTGTATTTCAAAAAAGTTAAACAAAAATTTAAATGTCGTTTGCCACCGTGGACGTAGAGACGAATCTAAGGGAGAGCCCTAGCTATGCCGAACTCGCCTTCGGCTCGCTCGGCATTGGTATAAAAACATGTACTGTGTGTTTGGCCGTTGGTAAATGTCGTTTGCCACCGTGGACGTAGAGAGACGAATCTAAGGGAGAGCCTAGCTATACCGAACTCGCCTATTGGTGTAAAATAAATGTACTGTATGTTTGGCCGTTGGTAAATGTCGTTTGCCACCATGGACGTAGAGAGACGAATCTAAGGGAGAGCCCTAGCTATGCCGAACTCGCCTTCGGCTTGCTCGGCATTGGTGTAAAAAAATGTACTGTGTGTTTGGCCGTTGGCAAATGTCGTTTGCCACCGTGGACGTAGAGAGACGACTCTAAGGGAGGGACAGAGTTATGCCGAACTCGCCTTCCGCTCGCTCGGCATTGGTATACGAGGCGCGTGTAGTAAGAATCGAAAGTCTTTATTTAGTTAGTTTACTTGGTTGGGGAGAGAATTTTTGTTTGAATTTGTATTTCGAAAAGTTTAAAAAAAATTTCTTAAATCTACAAATAACCTAATGTCCCAAGCTGCTTAGTGTCACACTCTGTTTAGCTTCATTTAGAATTTTTGTTTGAATTTGTATTTAAAAAAAAATCCTAAATCTACAAATAATCTAATGTGCAAAGCTGATTGGTGTCACATTTTGTTTAGCTTCATTTAGAATTGTTGTTTGAATTTGTATTAAAAGAAATAATCGATGTAGAGTGTAAGGAAAAGCCCTAGCTATTCCGAACTCTCCTTCGGCTCGCTCGGCATTGGATAGGAGATACGTGCGCCAAGAATCGAAAGTCCTAGGTCTTTTTGCTTAGGTGAAGGGTTGCTCGCAGAGTTCCATTAGGAAATTTAAAAAGTTAAAAAAATTCTCAAAACTACAAATATCCTAATGTCCAAAGCTGTTTGTTGTGGAACTGTTTATTTTCACTAAGAATTTTTGTTTCTCTGTTTAGTTTCATTTTTTTTATTGTTTCCAAGTGAGACGTTTAAAACTCGCGTTACTGAACAACGTTTGACTACGTCCAGAGATTTGATTTATTAGCCCCCTAACCTAAGCTAACTAACTAACCTACATCCAAACACTATCTTTACTCGAACGAGCGGAGAAAGCGGAACTAACTATCAGCGGAAATGACCTAAACAAAACCCCCTAACCGAAGAATGAGCTGAAAGGGAACTATGTTGTTCTTAGGGAAGTATTATACACTACGTGTACACCCCTCAACGCAGTACGCCATGGTACACGTCAGGGAATACTTCCCAATGGAAGTTGCGCTAAAAAGCACTACTTCCTAAAAAAATACGTCGACTTACATCGACGGAACCGCCGCAACGTTCAAATGAACTTACGCGGTTGAAATGTGGTATTATTTGAACGGTTATATTGCGCATGCGCCGATACAGAAGATGTATTTTTTTCAAATGGCGCCATCTATACAACTGTCACGGGAACTGTCAAAAAATCTGGGACATTACAATTTTATGTAAAAAACACCATTTTGAAGGGAATTTAACGTGTTTTATCGTTGTTATGAAAATGTCATCGTATACAAACCTACATTTGCACAATTTCGAGTAATCGACTTGATGTCGACCAAAAATTCATGCCGATGTGCATGTTGCTACGTAGCATAGACATTTACGATAGAAATGGTATGAAAATTTATTATTGATGTAACAAATTATCCCTGTTCTTCAAGAAGAAGTCCTATAGGAGGTTATTCATCAGTTTATATGCTGGTTAGAGCAAAAAGTATGTGCAAGATTCTAGCGGAAACGAAAGCATCTCGTCACATGAAATATTCATGCTTAGGAAGGTAGCGAAGTGTTAGTTTTAGTTCGTTACCTTTCACTTTTATTTCTACATGTTCACATAGTTTACTACTATTAAAGCGACCACCTACTACCACTTGGTCCAAACAGCAAACTACGTTATCATTATAAAAAGGTATAAAAGCTCGTACTTCAAATATACTTATTACCATTGGAGGACACGATACTGTAATACACAGCACCTTAAGTTATCCAATACTTGCTTGAGGATGAGTCCATTTCTAAAGAATCTCCTATGCAAAGGCATGTGAATTACTACCTACGAAACACTACCTATAGGTTCCAACAAAATTGTAAAAACTTCTTTGTCTTAAAATTTTTATGCTTTCAAGTATACCGTATAGGTACCTACCTATACATATTATAAGGATTGTGTTAGAAATCGTGAACAATTTTAAAAATCATATTTGCATGCCTATAATACATTCATAAACAACAAATAAGGAATAGGTGCTACACAAACTCCTCACGACCACTCAAAATGAACCCATTATTTTCATGGATTTCTATTATAGCATGTAGACTCTGTACGTGGAGAAATCGTAAAGAAAATTCTCCCGATAAGAATAAACTTGTTCTACAGGAGGCTAAAACAACCCCAAGTGTAATAAGTACTTTGGATGTGTTGTTAATAACTAATACATTGTTTTTTAACATGCACATACAATGTGAAACGACTTGCTGCATGCAAGGCATAATGTGTACAAAGTGTACATGTATTTTTTAATATTTTTCTCATGATCCACATCAATTTAGCACAAAATAGATAGAAGTAAATTTATATTTAGATTTATGAATTTCTCTAGAAACTATGTAGGTATGAAACACCAAGAAACCGCAGAATCTATATGATCTCAAATTGAAATAATCTAGTAACTTTATAGAAAATGTTCCTTTAAACATTAGTGTAATGTAGCAGTCCACTTCCCTCAAGTGATTAATTAAATGTGACATGTGTACTTTGTCATTAGTGGCCAGTATTTATCTAACTAATAAAATCCTTCTTGTTTTTATATTAAAGGGCTTACTATCTTAATAATAATCACGTTAATGTTATAGCAACAAATCACTACATAGAATTAGACTTTTATTAATAACGCAATCTTTATACACTTTGAAGTTTCCTTCCTAAACGTTAATGGATTTTTCTTTGAAATTGTAAGTACAATTCAAGACACGTTAATATGAGTAGGTACCTACATAAACTTTCAATGGAAATGATTTTAATGTGGCCAGCCTAATGTCATTTGTATCTATACTTAAAACTACATAACATTTCGGTTTAATGAACATCAATGGATTGGATTATATGTCTTTCCCCCTTTCGAAGGTAAAATGGGGACGTACTTGTAAATTACATGTCGCAAATACGATCTCTATATCTGGTCTCTGTACCTGAAAGTAGATCACAATAAACGTTCTAAACGTGTTTTATACCTGCATTACCTTTAGAACTTGTCTTCACGTATAATTTCGACGAACGATATGGTACTATAAAAAATAGGGTTGTATTTTCATTTCATTCAGGCCTACGTTTTGCAGATGCGAAACGTAAACAAACTTCACGAGAGATAATTTCTTCCGTTTGGAAATGTATACCTGATGCCATTTGATTGTAACTAGGTAGCTTTGAAACTATATTTAACAATAACAAAAAGGTTTACAATAAGATTAAGCTCTCTCCAGTTAATGTAAACATTAAAAGAAAGCAAGGTTATAAAAACTATACATTAGAACTACTCACAGCTCTGTGGAACTACTACAGTTCCACAAACTGCTACCAATTACATAGAAAGTCTCGAGACTTGGAATTATATGAGAGACCCCCAAAATGTGAGAAATTAGTGTAAAATCTCGACGAGGCGCATCGCCGTCTCCGACGCAAAATAGAATCTCGACGATGCGCCTGCGGCGCATCGCCGTGCGAATAATATCTCGACGATGCGCCTTCGGCGCATCGTCGCCTCCGGCGACAAATATAGAATCTCGACGGCGCATCGCCGTTTCCGGCGGCGGGAAGCAACTTCGCATATGACTTTTACTTATCGTAAAGCTTATATTTACGCTTCGTAAAGACAATTTCGTCGATTTCTCCCGTCCGTTGCTTGTATTTTCGCAAATTTTCGTAAAAATAGCGCCGCGACCTGGGACTCCCCTTCGATTTTTTCGAAATGGACTCGTCCGTCAGTTTGACGTTTAAATTGTTAAGGGTTTTTCGCAAAATTAAGGGTGAAGGAGCTAATAGCCAGAATTTTGAGGATAGGACTGTCACCTCAACTTTTCACGGCCTACTTGATTCCGTCGAGAAACTTGAGTAACCTCAAACTCCGTGCGACCTTCAGTTGCGTGCTACCATTATATTGAATAAATAATAAATAAGTATATATTTTAGGGATGCCAGGGATGGTCAATCTATAGTCGAATCGGTTGATGATGACAATAATTACGCTAATCCCGATTTGATTCAGTCAATGGCTTTTGAACATAATTTTGATGTAAATTGTGATTCTGTAGCTCAACCTTCGTCTCACAGTCCCGCATAACACCAATTTGGAATTCAGGTCAAGAAAGGTAAAGGTACACACGCATGGATTTCACTGTTGATTATTAACGATCCTCAGAGCCTTTATAGTTTTATATTGTCGTCCGTCCGTCCGTGTGCGCTATAAGCCAGGAATTTGTTGCATTTTTGGCAACCACATGTACTATGCGATCAAAAATGAGTTGCTGTCGAGTTGCCTTTGAAATTTTTGTTTACATGGAAAATCGTATTTCACTTGAACTTCCAAAGGCGACTCGACAGCAACTCATTTTTGATCGCCCGTTACTTTGATCAAGGCACGCCAAAATCATTATTCGTGCACCTAGATTGTTGGAAAAAAGACTACGAACATTGGCCCGTATGAATAAAAGTAAGCAAATGCTTATACTTGCAAAATTCAAACTAAATACTCGTAAGTGCTCCTTCGCACTGGGCGACTTAGCAGCGCTGCTAAGCAGAAGGACAGGACACAGTGCAGCGTTGCTAAAGAGACCAATATGAAGGCACTTACGAGTATTTACTTTGAATTTTGCAAGGATTTGCTTACTTTTATTCATACGGGCCCTTATCTCAACGCCCAAAACATGGATTGGATGCGTTCTGATCAAAACATGTCAAAAGCATTATTCATGTATCAAAATCGTTGGGAAATAGAGCAAGAGCATTATTTCAATGCCAAAGACATGAATTTGATGCATTTTTCGCGACCATATGTGTTTTGATCAAAGCATGTCAAAATCGTTATTCATGCACCAAGACCAAGATTGTTGGGAAAAAGACTAAGAGCATTTTCTCAATGATCAAGAAATGAATTTGATGTCTTATAAATAAGGAAGGCCCTTTTGACATCTCTGTGAGTTATAAACCGAATTGCATGAAATTCAATATGCGTATAGCTTTAGCCATATAAAACGTAATTCCAAAAATTGAGCCACTTTCAACTTTCACAGTGCCCTTTTCGCATCTCGAGCATTAATAAACCGAATTGCAAATCTTTTTATTTATGAAGGTATTTAAATGAAATTTGATAAATAGCCACTTGGAATAAAAGCAAATTTAACACCAGTTTTAAGATTTCGTTTTGCGCATGCGCAGTGCCAACTTTCTTATTTATGGAGGCATTTAAATAAAATTTGATACATAACCACTTGGGATAAAAGCAAATATAACACCAATTTCAAAATTTGGTTTTGCGCATGGGCAGTGCCAACTTTCTTATTTATGGAAGCAATTAAATGAAATTTCATACATATACACTTTAAATAAAAGCAAAACTAACATCAGGTTTAAAATTTGGTTTTGCCCATGCTATAGCCATACCCAGGAGCTCGTTTTCTATATTTGTTTAGTTTATTTATTTCATTGCTTGCAGCATTGAAACGGAGGAACTTGAAATTGAAATAGAAACAATAAATGACGCAGATGTAGTTGAATTGCCCATTGGACGTAGATTTTTGACATACACTCCTTAATTCATCATTTCGGAGAAATCATTATCAACTTTATTTTCTTATATGGTCCGTAAAAAAAGTAGATACTATATTGAGTAGCATTTTTTCCTATGAATAAAACGATTTACGACACACAAAAGAAAACACAAGTCGGAAACTGTAGGTTTCAACAAGATGGTGTATCCGCGCATAATGCCATAATTGTGCAAGAAGACCTATTGGACAAATTTCGTGGAAAGTGGAAAAAATCGATTTGCGCCGACAAAAAGAAAGCTCGACTTTTCCATTTAGGCATTTCTGGTTTGTTCTTTTCTTAGTTTATGAAGAATTAGTTATTTGTTCAATATATTTCTTCGCGATTGCACTGGATAACGCTATAGAACAAACAAGGAGGGCGGTGAGGAACTTCAGCACAAATGGCCCAAACACTGTTGGCGTAGGCGGACAACCTATCATCAATCGACAATCGAGGACAGGATAGAAGACATCGAAGACTTCGTTCAAACCAGTGAGGCATACCTGGAAATGGCAGGCCTACAAATAAACAACGAATAGAGAGATCATTATTAGACGAATACTGGTGGAGGAGGAATCAGACATAAGCACAAAGTGCCCAAGAGGAGGAGGAAGAGGGAACAAAAAGCAGCGCAGGGAGAAGACAACAATAAGACGGGGAGGAACAAGGAGGGAAAGAAACGAGAGCAAAAGATGGGGATAAGGCATATAATCCAGTGGCGAAGCGGTGGCCGTACCCTTTCGGGTCGGATAAAACCCAATTAGACCTCCCCTCACAACCTCCCCAATCCACAAAATCCACAACATTGCGTAGCATATGTCGCAGCTCAGCGCGATGGCAACAAAAGTAGTAGAGATGCACCCCTGAGCTGTTAGTGCCCATCAGGGAGTTGAAAAACACTTTCTACTCAAGTTTTACACAAATTCTTTTTGAAAAAAAATGGAAAAATGATCGTATGCAATAATGAAGTTTGACACATAACAATCTAGATACGGGTATGTTTCAATTTTAATGTCATTATGATTAAATCGGCAATTGTTTTTTCCATTCCTCACTAGAGAGGAAAATCACATTTTCTTCACCATTTTTAGAGATGAAAGTAATTGTTTCTAAAGTACTCTCAGAAAAATTTATTTATCCGCGTGAGAAAAAGTTTACTCAACAAAGTCGTACAGTGTCGAGTGCGTTCCAAAACCAAGTCAACCAAGGTACAGGTAAAATTTGGAAATGTCGAATTTTTGATAGTAGTCGTATACAAAAATTATTGTAGTGTATTTATCTTGTGTGATAATTGTATTATTGTATATATAAACGATTTATACTCGTATTATGAACTATGACTGGAAGCCGATCTTTCTCATTACAGACCACTTCAGAACCTAACTTCACAGTAGGTTCAATGGATGTCGCCCGCGGCATCTTGGTTAGCTTCGAGTTTTTGAACGTTTTTGTCTACATACAAAATTTCATTTAAATATCCGGATTGCGCATGCGCAAAGTATACGGTTTGATTCGGAATTAGCTTTGCTTTTACTTGAGGTGCCTACATTCAAGATTTCATTTAAATATCTTAGTAAATTTAAAACAAAAACCAATTGCGCATGCACAAAACAAATTTTTTGCTTCGCCATTCGCTTCATTTTTATTCGAGGGGTCTATATACAAAATTTCATTTAAATATCTTAATAAATATAAAAATCGGATTGCGCATGCGCAAAGCAAATTTTTTTAAGCGGTATTAATTTGACTCTTATTTGAGGTGTCTACATACAACATTTCATGCAATTCGGTTCATAACTAACGGAGATGTCAAAAGGACCTACTTTATTTTTGGGCTACAGTGCCAATTCAGGAATTCCTATCTACAAATTTGATAAAGAATTCACCTGCAAAATTTCATCGTAATCTCTCCATCCGTTCTCTTTTAATTCGATGGGCATGTAGCCATCGAACGATCGAGTTGAGAGAGCGAGCGATCGGACGATTGGCACTTGGCAGAAAGCGTAACCGTCTCGTTTGAAACTCGACCTTAATAGTAAAATGGCACGGGTAATGATGTTCCGATACAAATAAATACGAGTAAGTACTCGATAGGTACTTTTGTTTCGGTACTAAGTACTTTTAGTATCGAATTACTTCTTATTTCGATATTACCGAAGTATCCGAAATAAGTATAAATTGTGCACACCTCATGTGCAGATAAAGCGCATTTTTGTTTGACATCAGCAATGGATATATTTCTTGCAGACGGCTCAATGGCCCTTTGTGAGTATCTTTTTCCGACAATTCGTTCTTGAAGTATAAGGGAATATACCCGATCATGATAAGAAGTCGAGGAGGAGGGCTATGGTTGGTAGAAATGAATTCCTTTCGTCGAGACCTTTCATGAGAGTACCATGAAGGATAAAACTAGTTCCACTCCCCCTCCCCCTCCACCCCGTACTTTGATAAGAGGACAGAAAGAAGGGCAGTAGTTGGTAGAAAACGGTTCCTTTCGTTGAGCCCTTTGGTTAGAATACAATGAGAGATAAACCTAATTTTTATCCCCCCACCCCCCCTCAGGCCCCGCCGCTCACTGATCTCGAAAAAAGTCGCACGGGAAAGTTATACTTTGTACAAACCAATTTATTTCGATGAGACCTTTCATTAAAATACCATGAAGGGTAGAACATGTGCCCCCCCCCCTCCTCCCTATTTTCTAAACTTTAACTTAGCACCACTAAAGGCATGCGTATGCAAAATCTGACACCAATTGGTATGTAAAAATTATGCACGTTTTACTTTCAAAAACAGCATCTCAGGTAATAATTCGTGGGGGGGGGGGGGCTTTTAGAAAGCAAATTTGATGGCCGTCTGGCACACCTTCAAGGTATAGGATACCTACTGCAAAAAATTCCAGGATTCTATAGGACCATTCCCCTAGAAGTAGTTCGAAAGGGCAGAAGTGGGGACGGACGGACAAAACGCAAACAATAGCACAATTTTTTAATTCCTAAAAAATGCGATAAAAAGTGCTTGTATCGAATCGAAGGTAGCTAAAGTCGAACAAACCGTGTACGCGCATATGCGATGTTAAATTTTGATTCCAAAGCAAAAGCTAACTGGTAAAAGTCTCAAACGCATCACATTCATCGTTTCGGGTTTCCCCGTAACTCCCTGGTAACAGGCGATAAGATTAGACACACAAAAATGGTCACATAGGTATAGGTATTCTAAAAAGGTGGCTATAAAGGTAAGTATAAATAATCTCCAAAAAGTATCGATATGAGTAAGTATCGATCCTTTTGCAGTACCTACTCATATATTTAGGTATCGGAAGACGATTTCAGTACTACCGTTGAGTGAAGGATTAGGGA